TGAAAGATTTTGCCGAAATGAATTATCTTTAATAATAAATTAAGGGACATTAAAGACATCGACTAAATTTGAGAAACATCCCCTAGCGGCCAAACGCTTAAAGCTAGCTGAATTCTGTTAGCTCCAGTGATTTTCTCTTTAAAATATTGAGCTCCAGACACTTAAGTCCATTTTTTCTCTTTCTAAATAAAGGGTGATTTCATAAAACGTCTCCAATTTGAACCACCCTGTACATATTAGCTAGCAAAATATGTAATAAATAAAGGAAGAATTTAGAATTAAACTACCAAAAAAGTACTTATCAGTTCATACATCTTTATTAATTACGTAATTATTATTCTCTTGGTAATAGTTGGTTTGAGCATCATAAACGGAGACTCTACAAATGGAAGAAGACAGGAGACAGGGCCATGAATCGAACAGACTATGTTGTTGTTAACTAAAGGTTTAAAAACAGTGTAATCCAGACAAGAACGTAGAAAATTATTAATACTGAAGAAGGAAGGAATAGATATAATCAAATTAATCAAATAAGAAGGGAATGTGTCAAGGCTAAACAACAGTGGATGGGAAGCAAGTGTTTACAGATAAAGGAAATGGATAAACAAGGGCGTATGCAAGTAATGTACAAAACGGCAAAGACAGTGATAAGAAGAAAATCAACAGCAATTAGTAAAAAAGGCGTAAACAATAAACATGGTGAAATATCATCAAGATTCAAGTCTATAGGATAATAAGAGAATATGGAAAGATAAAAGAACTATATCAGGTAGACAGGTTTAAGGGAGGAGAATTAGTCGGAGTGTAAGCAGGACAATAAAGAACCAGAGATTACAAGGTGTACAGTGGAAAGAGAAATTAATGATCTCAAGGATAAGAAAGTCATTAGCTGTGATGGTATTCCTGCACAGGCACTGAAGGCATTAGACCAATGTGCTGTGATCTCAAGAAAACCACATTGATTACGTTACAAAAGAAAAACGAGGCAAAGGAATGTAAAGATTACCGGACCATAAGCTGCATAAGCCATATAACTAAGGTTTGCGTTAGAATATTGTTAAAAAGAATGCAAAGTAAGATTAAGATAGAGAAATGTATGGAAGTGAACAAGTTGGATTTAGAGACGGACGAGGGACGAGAGACGCCATTGGTTGTCTATAAGAATGATAAGGAAAGAATGATGGACGTTAATAGAGATGTTTACGTATGCTTTATAGATCGGGAGAAAGCATTTGACGGAGTCAACTGGGTAGTATTGTTAGCAGTACTGAGGTACATTGGTATATGGACTAGAGAGATAGAAGAGCTGTATAAAAACCAGAAGCTAGTTGTAAGAGCGAATGGAGACGAAACTAAAGAAGTCAATATAGGACGAGGATTGGGGTGCTTTTCAAAATCTATGCGGAAACATTAATATAAAAGGCGCAAGGAAACTTGAAGGACTAAGGATAGGTGGTAATAACAGTAAGGCAATAAAATAGTAGACGACACGACAGTACTTGCAGAAACAGAGAAGGAAGTACCACGAATGATGGAAAGTACTATCGGTTGGATGGATGTTTTGAATGAAGGTCAACATCAGTAAGATAAAAGAAATCATGCTGATGAGTAAAGATGATGAAGTAAAGATAGAATTAGAAGAACAGATGATGGAGCATTCGGTAGTATTATCAAATGGAATAGATTTATAGAATTTATAGAATATAGGTATAATAGATTTGCTAAGGCGTTCGTTTAGAGTGTTGTCACATATGGATCAGAAAATTGGAGTGTGAATAAGCAAAAAGAAAGGTAGTTAGAAAGCTTTGAAATGTAACGGAAAATTAGCCAGAAAGAGTGAACAATGAGGATGTTTTGAGAAGAGTGGGCGAGGAAAGAAGTTTTTTAAAGAACAATGCGAAGACGGAAAAGAGGATTGGACATACTTTGAGCCGAGACTGTTTAATGAGAAGGAAGGATAATCAAAGGAAAGGTCACTGGAAGGAGGAGAAGAGGAAGCCCAAAATCTGGAATACAAGTACTATAAGAGTTGCTGTCGAGTCACCTTTGGACTTTTGATACTTATGGGAAGGAAAATGAAGCAGGCGGTAATTGTGACGCCGCACGCCGTCTTGTTAATAAAAGTTCTGTTCGGTTTGTCATAATTATTAATTATATCAATAGAAATTGTCATTATTAAGACCTCTTGCATCATAAATACCTAAGTATGTTTTGCATGTTTAATCCAATTTAAGGAAAACGTTACATAAGTTCGTTCAGTCTAATTGTGTTATGCAATTCGGGGCACACTTATTGATCGAATCTGCAATACTCGAAGGGAGCGTACCTAATGGTGAACGTGACGTATCTTAACGTAGCTTTGAACTGAAATCTACAATACGCACAGATTTTTATCTCTATCAAGGCGAATACGTTGAGCTGATTGATATTATAATAATGTTATTTATCAGTACATGTCAGAATCTTTTTAAAAGATTGCTACTTGACGTACCTACTTACTTCCATTGCTATCGGTTGGGGTGGTTTGGTTGTACGAACGCAGAACAATAGAATTTACTTCTGCTTTCATTAAGTGAGTGGCAGAAGTTTATTATTTGGATAGCATCCGAAATGTTTCAAATGTATATTTAAATTAGCCTCGCGGATGTAACAAAATGCCGAATAATTTAAATTTTATTTTGAATGAATAACAGCCTCTCTAAAAATGCGTGTTATTTTTTACGATCGGCCAGTTTGCTGGCCTATATTCGTTAACATTTGACATTATTTTAGATATTGCGAATTTGATGGTCGATTATCCATAATATGATACATGAGCACGTTTCCCGTATTAAAATGTATAATGATCGAGGCTTCAAGGGATGAACAGGCACTGAGAATGAATCCGTAAAACCTTGAGTGTGTCTAGTAATAAATGATGTTAATAACCAAAGTCAAGGGGAGATGTAAAGATGTCTCTTATTTAAACAATTCACCCCTAGTCAAATTCGCAAAATCGTGCAGACCAATTTATGTATTTTCAGTTCGAGCCATATATATGTACTTCGCTAATTGGCTTGCGATTTGCGAGGAATCTTCTGGATTATGACATAAACCGTTCCAATTCTGTAATCGAAATGCAGATCCAATGAAGCAACTTAATGAACCTTTGCATAAGGGAAGAGATCNTATTCAATTCACCTAACATTTGTCACATTTCAACCAGTGAAATGTCTCGATTTCAAATTGCTGCGCCAATGGGAACGAATTATAGTGATAATTGCACGTGTGGTATTTCAGCGACAATTCAACTCATGTATAAAAAATCGCATAAGCCGCAGTGAAATTGTCACTTTGACAGCGGCAAAAGTTACCTGCAACTTTTCCAGCGACAAATGCACTAGTGGTTTTTTCACTATTCATTTTCGAACCAATTATCGCATTATCCTTTCCCATATGACTAGTTTGACGTCTGTCAGTAATTGATTAGTTATGTGAATTTCTTGTTCGTTAAATTGTCCTGCCGAATTACACTCGAGGTTTGTATTTAAACCGAGTAAATTTGGGTTGTGGCAATTCAAATCTGTTTCCTTTTAGCAATTGAACTCGAAAAACTGTCAACCTAAAAATGCTCCACCTGCGGTGTCGCATTTTTATTAGTTGACAGTTTTTCTCGTCTAATTGCTAGGCAACGGATTTTCATTACCTAAACAACCCAAATTTACTCTGTAAAATACAAACCTCTTGTGCAATTATAAGTGATAATTTCACGTGTGGTATTTCAGCGACAATTCAATGCGATTATTCAATGACATTTGTCAAACTTCCACCAGTGAAATGACGCGAAATTTTGTCGTATTAACCGGAACATTCTTCTTAGTTTGTTAATCAATTTCGACAACCGCCTTATCACCACATCTTTTAATTTAATCACTCATAACGAATTAGCTTGGAGCACAAAAGTTCGAATAGAATCAATAGCAAAATGAAAAGCAACTTCCATAATTTATTTTGACGTTTATTGTTGTCATGGAAATACATTCGCGTGGGTAATTATGCTTAATTTTTCTTTTGATTCGTTGAATAGTCCTCCATAATACCATTCGTAGTCGCAGTATTTGTAGATTATTTTTGAGCTGCTGCTCCACTCATGCTAGTTACGCTTTTTAATACCACGAGCGCGCGTAACTAGCATTCGTGACAGCACCTCAAAAATATTCGACAATACTTCCGACTACTTATGGTATTATGAAAATTTCTATCAGATAACGCTAAACTTACTGCACCATGGCTGGTTCGTATTTGCAGCAATCGTTACGTTTCTTTCTTAATTCTGAAGTTGTTGTACATATTAGGGGATTAATTATTGCTCCTGTTGTATTTCAAATAACCCTAATAATGTACAGGAGAGCAGGATATTGCATTTAAATTCCTATGTTCCTACTTACCGTGCATCACCCAGTACCTAGGTGAAGTAATTGGAAACATAAATAAAAGAACAGTTAATATTGTAAAATGTATTTATACATCAACTATTACTTACTACTTTTACTGTTGTATCGAAAAAACAATAACAATAACATTCAATCGGGAATCAACATAGTATCAACAAATGCACTGAACGAGTGCAATGATCAGGGAATAATTTTATAAATGTGTGTAGGAAAAGCTTACAAAAATATGATTTAACTGAAAAAGACACTATAAAAATAACAGCAATACTCTACCATAACAATTATTTTTACTTAAGCCTTTATTGACAACATGAGTATTACTAGTACTACTATTATTAGGTAGATATAATTTAAAAAATATTGAGTACAGGTGAACTGTATTAAAGAAATTCTAAATGGCCAATATTGTGCAGTTTGTCATTATTCAATAGTGATAATTTGGTCCGTTAAAGTTAAAGGGTCATAACTGGATATTTTACTACAGGGATTTGTCCGTTTCGCTTTTTCTTAACAGTTTTTTTAATACCCTGTTCACATTCCAGATATTAGCTTAATCGTTTTGTGCGTAAATATACAAAGTGTAGAAATATACATAATAAAATAATAATTAACTATATAGTTCGGATCAGTCGAAATTTGACTTTCAATGAGAAAATGTAGGAAGAGTTAGGCCGTCTATGCCTCGTAATACTTAGATTAAGTGTTATGCACAGCACATTTGGCAGTAGCCTATTATCACGAGCAAGTCAATATCTACATACATTTTTATTGCGGTATTAAAAAATTAACTAAATACTTATTGGTTGACTACTGTAACAATATGTCATCGGATATTTTACACTTTTGGCACATAATATCACTAACAACCGTGCGCTCAACTTCAGGTAAGTAACTGACGTATTGTTACAGTAAAGTTGTTTTATCTCAGGAAACATCACGATGTTGATGTCTTGTTTTTCGATTGACACCAAATGTAAACCATGTACCTACTTTACGACCGAGTGAATTCGAGTTTTGAGAGTTCAGTTGTAGGGACGATCCCATGTAGGATGAATCTAGCTTGTAACTTTTATTTCCTGAAATGAATTCAAATATGGACAGGATTAGATCTGAAAGATAGGTAGGTAACTCAGGAGCAAAAGAATTTTGTGGATTGATAATGATTGAAATACTTCAATTAAATGCATGTTTAACGATAGCTATAAATTAATCAGCGTAAATATTCAGGCTTTTTATAAGTTTATTAATTATATGATTTATTAAATCGTGAAAAATGATTTTCCTAAGAAAAACTATAAGACTCCACTAGCGGAATTGTAATACACCATGAACTGGATTGACTTTGTGCGTGTCCTCAAGACAGGGAGTATTACGCCAACAGTTACTTGATATCTGATGGTTTGTGATCCTTGTACAAATCTCAGCAAACCACATAGGTATTATCCATTTCAACGAAATTAAAATCGATTTTCCATGGTGCAAATTAAACCTTCTTGTGGTTTGGTCCAAAAAATGCCAATGTCCATATGCTCAAAACTTCACAAACGGTTTCAGGATTTAAATGTCTCTCAAATAATAATTAAAAACCAGAGCAATTTCAAAGGCCTACGCGAGTTTGTACTATAGAGTTAATGTAGGAATCTGACATCCATCAGAGGGTGTGATACTTTAGTAACAGTAATTGAAACAGTGGTTCACAATTTTCAAATAAGGAAGATTGTGGATAACAACAATTGACGATACCTACCTCTTGGTTTGCGCGGAGGTCTCCTTTGCGATCGAGCCGCAATTCGTGCTAACTGTTTGGCAGCAGGTGGGAAGTCTAACCGATCAGATTTATCTTGAGCAACTAGTCGACGTTCATCAGAAAATGCTTGAAGCCAAGTTTGTTTCTCGAGCGATGACCGAAGACAAAACAAAATCCATTTGTCTCTTACACAGCTGTAAACCCTCAACGCATGTCTTACACTCACACCCGTTTGAACATCTATAAAATGAAGTTTTTACTTGTTATTTAGAACAAACGGTATACCTTTTCCATCTGAAACATCAATGACTTCACTTGTGTTCATGTCTATCCGTCCTTTGTATACATAAGTATTTCTTTTTAAAATGTCCTACAATAAAAATTTGCCATTTAATAATTAACGTGATGGACCAACAGAAAGTAGGTACCTTTTTACAATAAATAAGTTGATGATCAAACAGAAACAAAGTAATATTACTTGTCCACATTCCACTAGTAATTCTAACAGCTTCTCCTTGATGAATCAACTGAGAACTAAATTCAATCAAGTCTTCTCCCTAAAGAATAGCATTTTAAAAAGAATTTCACAACATAAAGAACTGTCCCTTACTTCCCACCCTTCGACCCTTTGCTGCCAAGCCGCCAACTTTTCTAAACTCTCCATTCTCCTTTTCCGTTCATTAATTAATACTGCAACACCTCTCATTGCCTTTAGAGCTTCCTTAATATTGTGATAGTCTGGATGATCAGCCTTAGTATACTTCAGCAATTCGGCTAATTGTAAAGGGTACTTGCAAATCCTCTGCACTGGGGTTAATAAGTAACCATCTAGGGGAATTTCAATGAGACCCCTCATCAATCTACAGGCTTCGAAAAACTTGCAATAATTATTAAATTGATACAATTCCTGCAATAAAGCTGTGGCTACTGGATGACTGTTGCAATAATCTGAGTACATCTCAAAACCTCCCTTACGTTTAATGAAACAGTTCCCGACGCAACTTTTGTAAGGTGCGTCCCAGTCTATACACGATTCTAAGTCTTTTAAAAATGCAGATTGAAATTCTAATATGTCCTCTAAATTGATAAATATAATGTCTATTTGCTCCGCGGTAAACATGTCCTTTCTCTTACGACATTCAGATATGTAACCCTCCGCAATGTCTTGGAGTACTTTAACAAATTCGCGTTCGGTGTGCACTAACTCACGCACTACACTAGTTCTAACTTGGTCGTTAGATAACAATGATATACTAGTCCTTCTACGTAATTGAGTAGGCATTGATTGTCCCGAAGCCATCGCAGCTAAACAGTCTTCTACAGTATCCTCTTGACTCACACGTAAACGTACAAAAGCCGCTGGAAACCAACCCTCCTTGCCCCCGGACGAACCCCACCACCAATCCCTATTAACAGTCTCTAACACTTCGATCACATCTCCAGCTCTGAATGCCAACTCTTCTGCCTCAATCGCAACATGATCAAACACCGCTTCAGCTAAGATAATCACGTCTTCGTCCATAGCCAATTCTAACGACTTTTTTCGTTCGGTCAATGAAGCAATTGAGGATTCAGAATCGGACATCATTTCATCTTCTGACGTTCCGATTCGTCCGTCGTGCTCATCTTCGCTTAAGATGTTGGCTCCACCCAGCCTTAAACCTAGCAATACACAAAAATAGTAAGTGCGATGTGGGTACGTGGAGTGGTTAGTATTAGAGTTGAAGACTAGTACATCACAACTGGGAAATAAAAGAATGAGTTACTAGGGATTACCTATTGCTCATTGAGTTTCAGAAAAAATACTACGATGGGGTGGAAACGAATGCCTTAATTAACATAAGACTTACCTGCTGTTTTTGTACGCATCAATGGCGACAATTTGTCTATATCCACAGGTTGACTAAGAGATCTTCTAAGTTGCCCACGACGTTGAGTTGCACGTAACTGAACGCCGCCCGGAGCATCAGGGGGTTTTTTCCGAGGACTCATTCTGTGAGGTCGCCCCTGTAAGGGTGCGGGAGAAGACATCATACGGCGATAAGAAGAACGCGAATCCCACTGAAATAACCGTTGTCCACCCAAGTCCGAATGCGTTCTTCTGATGTAGTGATGCCGGTGCGCTCGATTTTGTAATTCAGCCTGTAAACAAATACAAAAATAAATAAAAATGTCAAGGGTTAATAATACTTTCGTAGTTCCCTTACATGCGTCGTCCGCCTACCTACGATTTTCATTACTTTCAGCGCCGGCGTTCCGTGTCAGCGTCAATAAAATGATGATTCATACTCCTAGCAACAATGATTGTCTTTACACGCTAGATATATACGCAGGTAAGAACATACAAACAACGGAATGGATTATTTTGGCAAAAAAATAATTAGTTCCGTATAAGTAAACAATCCTATCACGAAAATAATACCAAAACAGAACGAATGTGCGCAACAGATCCGTCAATTTTGTTTTGTTCAATTCAATAAGTTTAGGTACCAAATAAGATTTATATATGACTTGTCCCGCTAATTACCACTGTATTTTAATTTACCTTTCAATATTAAACACACGCAATTATGTAATTTACCATTTCAGTTCAACTAGCAAGACTATAATACATTCCCTTAATGCATATTGTAGCAATTAATTGCTTTGCAATTATTTGAAATAGTTCGAGTAGAAATTATATTAATTTTCTCGAAAGGGTTAATATTCAATTATGTGTCTATTACATATTAATTAATTCTGGAGCACTGTGAAAGATTTCAAAAAATTCCAATTAACATAAGCTGTGTATTATAATGCACCCAAAGATGATTTAATCTGATTCTACCTAAAGTATAGTGTATATTCCCTCAAAAAATTATCCTCATAAATTTTTTATTGCTTAAAATTGATGGTTTTTTGGGTTGTTTCTAAAGCCAATGTTAATTTTGATTACTTCTACCGAAACTGAAAAATCGCGTATTGGCATACCATAGCAATTCGCAAACAATATCCTTCAATATTAAGGAATCTGAAATCATCATGGACAAAAAGATTTTGATAACGAAAGGGGCCAAGAGAAATCGCTGTTTTCAAGTTTCTAGGTTTTCCGCTAGAGGGCGTATGGTTAAGAAGGATCTCGCAAAATAAAACGCGGGATTGTTGGCGAGTCTCACAAAGTTCTAAGTAAGATAAACTTATACACCTGGAATAAGCGTACGTATAGAAAAAATTAAATTAACGTGTACGAACTCTTATGAGAATTGTCTTTATGTTTATGGTGATGTATCAGAATGTGATCAGATACGATAGGACGGGTGCTCTTTTCTGTAGGTACATGATACGACTGATACGAGGGCTTTCAAGCTTAGATCTGAACGGAACATTCCAAGTTGAGCTACACTGTTAGCGAAATAAATGTTTTAATCACCTCATATTTACAAAAATGACATCACAAATAGTAATCGATCCATTCGTTTACGAGATATCGTGCTAACGGACGCACAAACGGACAGACAGACGGACATGCACCGCAAAATAATAATAATAAAATAATTTGATTAATTTACATTTGGTAATGTCTCTAATAAAGTGAATGTGATGCTCAGAATTCAGAAAATTTTCAACTTAGTAGAAGGGGAATGCTAAGGAAAAGAGATAAAAATTGGATGGTTTTTTGGAATGGACTTTATAATGTACACCGGGCTGTAGCCTGTAGCCCCCCAAAAGTTGAAGTCTAGTTGCGCCTATGAGTGCAGCTGTGCAGCCAAACAAAACGAGAGCAATTTGGTTAATACAATCAAGAAATGCGGTCTATGTATTTCAGGATATTATGCCCTGTAGGTAGGGTTGCCATCTCAAAACTCTGCCAACTAGGACAGGAAGCGTGAAAATCCCGGATTTAGGTATCATAAACCCGGACATATCAACTGAATTTGATACAAAATATTGTCTAAAGAAATTGTCTTTGAAATTGTACTTTATTAAGGAGCTCCTAGCGAGTTTATAATTTTGCGGTGTCTGTCCGTCTGTCCGTCCGTTAGCACCATAACTCATAAAGGAATGGACCGATTACGATTAAATTTTGCAGGTGGATTCTTTATCAAATTTGTAGATCAGAGTTCGTGAATTGGCAATGTAGACCAAAAAATAAAGTAGGCCCTTTTGACATCTTCGTTAGTTATGAACCGAATTGCTTGAAATTCAATATGCGCATAGCATTAGCAATATAAAACACAATTCCAAAAGTTGTGCCTAATCGATCAGTATTCACAGTGCCCTTTGCGTATCTCGACCATTTACAGACCGAATTGCAACCTTTCTTATTTATGGAAGCAATTAAATGAAATTTCATACATATACACTTTAAATAAGAGCAAAACTGGCATCTGGTTTAAAATTTGGTATTGCACATGCTATAGCCACACCCAGGAGCTCGTTTGCTATATTTGTTTAATTTATTTTTATCACTGACTATACTGTATTCATTTTAAGAAGGTAGCGGTAAAAAACATAGAGAAGATTTGACCTTCAGTGTGATTGGTTAAAACACAAGTCAGTATTACGCTGAAACATAAAACGAGTGGCGAATTTTGCAAGCTGGTAGTTTCTGTTGGCATCTAAACTATTGAAGTGTCATTAACTGTTAATGTCAAAGATTGATTTCTGTTTGCAGTGCAAGATATTTCTACTTTACAATAATTTGGTGCCGTTTTATATTTTTCCTGTGTGTGCTTATCTTCAAACCCAGCGCCATCTACTACCTTCTTATAATGAATGAAGTATAGACTGTTTCAATATTCAATAAATTCCTTTTTTTGGTCCTCTGTTATGCCACTAGTGAAAATATTCTTTCAACGTTGGCATTATAAGCAGGAATGAAAAAAAATCACTAGGCAATTTTCAATAACTCCAAGTATAAATGAGGATTCGCTGTTTTAAAATATTGTAACCAAAGCTGACTGGCGCTTAAAAGTTTATCTTGTTGCCTTAAATTTTGACAGAAACTAGATGTTTCAGTAGCCTAAAACCCGGACTACCAATGAAACCCGGCCCGGACGCTCCCCGGGCGCCCCCTAAACTAGGACAAATCGGGGGAAACCCGGACGGATGGCAACCCTACCTGTAGGTATACTTATATAGATTAGTTTAATGTTAAACGTAACAAATAACTATACGCAAAGCAGTAAATCGCCGTAGTATGTAAATTTTTAGTAGGTAGGTAGGAGATTTCGCAAAAAAGGGCGTATGAAACCAGATGTGAGAAGCGTTGTGATGTGAGTGAATTTCATAATATTTATTGATAAAGCGTTAACTTGTCATAGCCCTAGTGTGGTTACGAAACATAAAAAGATTCGAAAAAAAATGTTAAAATCCGAAGCGGTGACTTTATTCCAGAAAGTCAAAAAACAAACAAAACCTTTACAACTTGACGAAAGATTATGGTCCATTGCCTACTGAAATAACAAACCCCGAAAACAACGACATGGATCCAGAGATATATACAGGGTGATTCCTATAGTACCTGCCACCGTTTGGGAGCGTGTAGGTGGTGCGTAGGGGAGTATTTTGATATAGGACACTTGGGGTCGGAAATCTAAAATAAGGGTGCCAGAGCCAAATTTACCTTCTGAAATTTCGCGCCTGTAGGTAGGCAACCCAACCGGCCGGCGGTGCACACGGAGCGATCTCAGGCGGCGATGTGTGGCTGACACTTGATCAGAATTTGTTTAAACCCACGAAATCCCGTCTGCAACGACGCGTATCAAGTGAATAAACACTATGGCAATAGTATAATAATAGTTGGCTAGATGTAGGAAGTGCATTGAGAACAACGGTGGCCACGTTGAACACTTGTAAACGTTATTGCTTTTGACTGTCGTTTTCCCTCCTTCCCTCCCATGTCGCTTCCTCGCGCTAACTCGCTCTGCATCGCTCCCCGCGAAACGTCGGTCGGTTGGGTTGCCTACATACAGGCGTGAAATTCCAGAAGATAAATTTGGTTCTGGCGCCCTTATTTTAGATTTCCGACCCCAAGTGTCCTATATCAAAATACTCCCCTACGCACCACCTACACGCTCCCAAACGGTGGCAGGTACTATAGGAATCACCTGTTATGTT